AATTTTTTTTCTGAAAAGAGAGTCTATAACTTCCATTAGATACTTAAAACACTTCATGTCTCCAAGAAGTTGACACTGAGACAGTATTTATCCTTCATGAATCTTTTCCCCATCTGAGCAAATGACTACACAGGACATGGCAGCCTAGCTTCTGAGAATACATATTTTTTATTCACATGGAGTATTAAGAAAATAATTTAAACAAAATTTTTAGATCTTTCTTACAGTTAGCTATATGGAAATAACATGTTACTTTTGGATATTATTAATGGGGTTTCAAAAAAAAAAATCTCTGGGTGATCAATCTTACCAAGATAAATCTGACTCTGCATTGCAGTGATGAAGATGAAGATGAAGATGAAGCACTGTACCAGAAGGTGTCCTTAGAACAGTGTCAGGTAGAGCATCTGGGGGACTTGCTGTCTCACTGCCAGGAATGTGGCTTGGCTGGTGACTTCTTCATCTTCTGCTTGAAGGTAAGAACTACATATATAGTTCATGGTCAGTTTTATTCCAGGGTAGTATCAGGGGCCCCTTTGAATTTTCAAGGCAGTCATAAATTTAGATTCTAAAGTTAGGTCCTATTAGGAGAGATAATCAGAGGACATAAGGGTAATTTATTTTTTAGTAGGTTTGATACCTTCAGCAGTACACATACGATTGAATGACTTTCCAAGGTAACCTGCACTGAAATTTTAGAGATGACCAAAACAGAACTATTGATCTATGAAAGAGTTAATCTTTGTGTTGACAGTAAGAACTCTTTTGAAGTTAATAGCAGGCTTTACAGCTATAGAGTAATCCCTTATCCTTTCTGTTATTTTGTCAGGTATGTGGAAAGGAGAATTAGTAGCTCTGCCTCTCTCATTTCATTTTGTAGCCACTTGAAACCTTTTCTGGGTTTGTTTCTTAGTACTGGTGGTTGTGCTTCATTTTGTTCTAATCTCTAACAGTAACTCATACCCCATACTATTACTCCTTATTTGCGCTGTTTGAGACCATAAACCAGATAATCTCTGATTCCCTGCCTTCCAGCTCTGCCTTCTCCATTGTTATCCCTAAATAAAGTGTCTATTCTAAGAGAATGTTTGTGGAGTTTAAGGTTGGTGTAGGTATGCGAGAATGCAAGGAGGGAATTAGGGCTAACACTTCTATTGTAGAATCTGAAGTAGGGGATACTTTTTAATGTCTTCTCACCTTCCGTGTTCACATCCATCCCACTGTCCAGCCACTCGTAAATAACATTAAAAGAATATATGCTCTTCATTGGATACTTAAAAAATTGTTTTGTTTAAAACACACAAAAAAATCAAAGCTTTCTTTGCTCTAAAATCAGAGCTTCCTTTGCTCTAAACCAAGGTTTCTCTACCTTGGTACTATTGACATTTGGGGCTGGATTAATTTTTTTGTTGGCAGTGGAGATGGGAGAGGTGGGTGGGGGG